TGAGTCCCAGGAAAGGCCCTAAGCTACACAGAGAAACCCTGTCTCGGGGGCGGAGGGGGGGGGAATTGAAACAAGCTTGCTAACTTCCTGGCACGTTTCCTTTACACTTTCTAATGCTCAGTTGTGTTTTAGGCAGAAAAATCATAGGATTGAGCTGCTGGGTTTTTTTTTTTTTTTCAGTAGATTACATAGTGGAAAATAAAAACATAAAATGCTTAAATAAACTTAACATCATTACATCATAGAGTTATCAAGTTAGTTTTGTTCTAGACACAGACATGACCAATACCAAAAGGACAAGTAGGAAAAAGAATCAACATTCTTATGCACTTTAGTGGAGTAACTATATAGGGCACTTTTTTACATTCACTAGCTGTGAGTTAGGTCATTAGTTATCTTCTTTTAATTTAATTTTTCTCATATGAAAATGATAACATCTTTTTAAGAAGGTTCTTGCCAAACTAAGGCATTTTAAAGCCCTCATCACAGGACCAGACATTTGAAGAGAGTTACTCCATTCCTGGAATGGGGATAGTGATATCAATTTGTGCCCAGCAGGCATGGGGCCTCTGACTCACATTTCTGTTGTATTTGCCGCCTGCTGGATGTTGCACCTGCCTCAATACTGGCTGTTCCAAAACCAAGGATGTCACCCCAATCAAAATAGACCACAGGTCCTCTAGTTCTGACATTATAGAAAACAGGCACTTTCATTAAATCAGCATCCTAAAAATAAGGTTTTGATGTGGGTAATCAATATTAATGGGTCATGGAAGAGCAAGTAGACAACTCAACGAATTTTTAAATTAAACATTCTAACACAATGCAAAGATATGCTAATTTGATAAGAATGAGGCTATGATTATAGTCTTTGCCTCCTAATGAAATCACTGTTACTCTAAGGGTAGAAAACAGGGATTCCTAACATACAAGTGTCTCAGGTATTTCAGGTGTCTCAGGTAGGGTTCACTCAAACTGGGGTGGCAAGGCGGTATATTCAGTGTTAAGTAAAATGGATTTTGACAGATTAGGGTCAGAATTTCCAAGAACTTATGAAATGTTCCTAGACACACCTCTGTCATTTTCTACTATCCATTCATGACAACTGACAGCCTCAGCATGGAGCATATAAGAAATATTAATGGTTCAACTCTAAAAATGTTGAAGATGAACACTTTGTAGTTCAGCTCTTCCACAAAGATTTAATCCCTTATGTAAAATCTAACACATCTACTTCATTATCAGTAAACTTGCTTTCATCTTTAAATTATATATACACCAAAAATTGTTTAAAAATAAAATTATCACTAACTGTTTGATTTACATTCTAATTTCTATATGTATAGAAAACACACTTAGAAAGCAGTCTGGGAATGTTTCAGAGCACAGAGAATTAAAGTAAAGAATCTTGTTCACAAAACACTAATTAAAGTGCTGAATCAATACCGAGGAAACTATTTTTGCTGAGGATTTTTTAACCTAATTTGAAATGGAGCTTATTTTCGAGAGAAGATCTTGCTATGTTGCTGAGGCTAGCCTAGAACTCATCACCCTCCTGCCTTGGCCTCCTGGATGCTAGGTTATAGGAAGGAATGTGCCACCCTGGCTTAGTGGTTCTTTTCAGTCATGTTTTTTAGCTTTTCACTTTAGGTGTTTTTCATTGCTGAAGAACCCATTTAGTGGCAAATATGTCAATAAAACTGCAGGCCAATTCAAATATAATGTCAAAACAAGCACTTTTCACTCTTGCGATAAAAATAAAACTTGGCAAAATTTTTCCCAAAGGTCTAAAGTGCAAAAAAAGTGACAATTATGAGAGAAATCAAGATGCCTATGGTGTCAGAAAGCATGAAGCCACGGGCAGCAACCAATCTGTTGGCCTGAATTCGAGCTTATAGTAGTGGTTCTCAGCCTTCCTAACGCTGTGACCCTTTAATACAGTTCCTCAAGATGTGCTGACCCCCGACCATAAAATCATTTTCATGACTATTTCATAACTGTAATTTTGCTGCTGTTATGAATCATAACGTAAATACCTGTGTTTTCTGAAAGTCTTAGGTGACCCCTGTGAAAGGGTCACTCAACACAAAGGGGTCGTGACCCACGAGTTGAGGGCCACTGGCTTATGGCTTGTTAATGCTTGCTTGCACTAAGAACAATGAAAACAGCTTTCAGTAAATTAAATCAGAACACCCCAATATTTTTTTTTTTCAGTAACAGCTCTTCAAGGTTCATGTGGGAAGACCTCCCCGAGAGGCCCCCACCTCAAACAGAAGAGAACACTCCAGGTGTCCCGGACATTTCAAACTGAGCTAAACTATTTCGACTTCCAAGTCAGCTTCTCTCATCTCCCATTTGCAATGTTTTGCTTCATCCTAACACTCAAAACATCGGAAGTTTATCTTTAGATTCTACTTCTGGAACTGAAACATCTGCAGCCCAAGTCACTTTGCCCCCTTTACGTTTTCCCGTGGCATCCTTTCACTCCAACTGTGAGCAGATCTGCCCGTGTTCCTGCTTTTTATTCCCCTCACTTCACTAGACACCCTTCTGAGCAGTCTTCCTGTTTACACTCTTGCCTCTTCCTGTCCATCCAGATGCAGCTCAACAGTGATTGTTTATAAAAACAGTCCACGTCCATCCATCCGCTTGTTTCCCCTTCTGGTGAGTGCAGACTCCTTCCAGTGACCGGTCTGTGCTGAGCATACCTGCCCCCCAGCTAACCCACATCCCCAGTCCCTTCTCACCTAAGGTTAAGACGCTGCTGCTCTTCCTAATGATGAGCAGACGAACTTATGATCCCCAAAGACTTGAGGTTCACTCTGATATTTGGAAAAGCCAACAATAACTGAGTTTTAAATTTAATTTGCTTTTATCAGTATTTTTGTATCTGTGCCTATGGTATAGTATGAGTTATACTTTGGACAGCAATATAAAATGTGAGTTTTAAAAAAAAAGCGTTTGCAGGAGGTGGTGGTATATACCTTTGATCCTAGCACTCAGAAGGCAGAGACAGGGGGGTCTCTTGAGTTCAAGGCCGGCCTGGTCTATAGAGTAAGATCCAGGACATCCAGGGCTACACAGAGAAACCATCTCAAAAAAACCCAAAATAAATAGATTAATTAAAAAAAGAACAGTGGAAGATTTCCTATATACTTTATATAAAAACTGGCATTTACTTAGAGGTCTTATAACCACATCAGAATAGCCTGTTGACCTTAAGTCTTGAAACCTAGCCTGATTCCCTAACTGCTTGGAAAGACCATCACCAACATTTGTATCAGATTTTGTTCCACGCAGCAATCACCTGAAGTCGATGGAACAAGCCGACGCTGGCTCGGAGCACTGGATTCAAGGTTCTAGCAAGTCTGCACAGGTGCTGCTGGTCTCATCAGCTCACATGCAAATAGTAAGTCCTGAATCAAATTCTCAGCCCCGAAGCCTACTGCAAACGTCTCAGTAATTTTTCTTTAAGACTGGATCTCACTATGCAGCCCCAGCCCGCCTTGAACTCAGAGATCCACCTGCCTCTGCCACCCCAGCGCTGAGATTAAAAGCATAGGCTGCCATGCCCAGCTTGTCTCAGTAATTGGTAGAAAGGAACCACTAGCACTTCCAGGGGTGAAAGACTGTTTAATTAGTCTGGGCTTCAGCTTAGTCACCAAGAACTCCCAACGAAAGAGAACCTTTGCTCTAAAATGTATTCACTGGTTTATTAAGACTTCATTTTCCTGCTAGAGATATTACAGCAGTAATCTATGTCCTGAGATGAGGATTCATTACCAACCAGGCCCTAAATTTAAGAGCTACAAGGACCTCCTCTCTGTATTCCTATAAAGTTATCAAATAAAGTAGTTTTAATATTAAAGCTAACTATTAATATGAAATGACAACCAGAGCTATTTTTAGAAAGTAGATAAAGATTAATCATGAATGTATCAGTTTTTAGAATCATAAGAAAAATCTAAGCAACTTAACAAGTTTATCAAACTTGTGATAACCCCAAACGGGTCATACCACAAAGAGGCCTGCAGATTAGTTTATAGGATGTAGGCATCACTGATCCAGCCTGCAGACAGAATCCCTAACCATGTGCTAAACTGAGCTTTGTAAAAGATCAAGTTGCAATTCCATGTCTCCCAAGTTCCTGATCTAAGAAATGCACATCCAAAATATACAGTAAAAATATCCCAAGTGGAAATTTGTACAAATTCCTTATCTACAATTAGGAGTACTAGACTCCAACTTCCACATAGTCATCTGGGTTATTCAACTCCCCTAACACACTTTTTTCTCACACACAATATGGACCAGTAAGAACGTGAGAGCACAGACTACCACCACAGGCTCAGAGTGAAAGTGTAACACTGGCCAAGTCACAGTAAATAAAACACAGCAAACCAAAGAATGTGCCAGGGTTTCAGTGCAAAGAACTGAAGTCCAGATTGGAGACATGCCCAGATCTGCCACTCCTCAGCTACACAGTACGCAAACCACACACTTTCATCTCGTTTTTAAGGTCCTGAGACTATGCTGAGAATCCCTAGTAGATCAGACCTCTGTTGCCTGAAAATAACTGTTCGTCTACAGAAAATATGATTAGAACAACAAGAGCAACAAGAGTATTTTTAAAATGACTAGTTTAACAAATCTCTAAGAGAAAATAACATTTTAGGCTTGGCTTTATTTACGTTTGGCTACCATGTAATTAATTACTTAATTACCATTAAGTAATAAATGTAGTCAAATCGTGGAAAAAAAAAACTAGAAAGAGGTGAGAAAATGGATCATTAAATGAAATGCAAAAACACCATGCAGAATGAAAATAAACTTCCTGAGAGATTAAAGCCTTTTCCAAGGAGAACCAGTTAAAATGGGTACGTGGAGGTTCATGATCAAACCCAAATAATAGACTTCTTCCCCCTTAGATATGCAAATTGCTGTTATCAGGTATTTAGAAAAAAAAAATAACCCTAATCAGAAAACATAATGCTTGGACATTCTTTTCTTTTGGTTTATTTCATTTAAATACATGTCCTGCCAACCAGAAAACACCTAGTGTGACCAACACACAAGAAATCTCAGCACGATCAACAAGTGCCTGCCTTGCACCTGTCAAGGGAATCTCAGCACGATCAACAAGTGCCTGTCTTGCACCTGTCAAGGGATGCCGAGAAGAAGAAAAAAAGTAAGAGAGAAGAAGCAACTATTAAAGGTCAGTCTTAATCCTCTTCAGAACTTGAATCATCCTCTTGGTCAGAAAGTTCCGGCACTGGGAAGCGGAGAAGGGCAGCTACTCCAGTCAACTGGCCAAGCTGTTCCCCAGACACGTGGAGGCTAGAGAATATCCGGACGGTGCCTGCGTTATCCTTCACACTGTCCACCAGCCTGACATACCGGCTCCGGGTGGCCACATCCTGATGCCGGAAGAGCTCATCACTGATGAGCAACGTGTCGATCGCCAAGGCTTCGTTGGCCCTCTCCACCTGCTTGAGTCCGTAGAAAGCTCGGTCAGGTTCATGCTGTAACATTTTATAGAAGTCGTCCAAGGCTTTCACTTCCCCGGCAGCTTTCGTGTCTGAAAGGCGGCTAGCTACAGTAGGGTCACAAAGGGCCTCTTTCAGGGAGTACTTGTGTCCAGAGGAGGCGTGTACCTAGAATCACAATTATAAAAGACAAAAGACTCTTTGAAAATATCCATGAATCAGCCCACAATGGCAGAAGACAAAAGCATGAATAAGACCTTACCCATTTAAGGACTTCAGCAAAGGGTACCTTATGAATGTGCCTAGACACTACACCGTTCTCTTTACTAATTCATTTACAATCCCAGGTAAGGTGGGTTTTTAAGCCCTCTGCTCCTCCCAGTTCTAAAACATTAGGAACCGTTCATACCAATCCCTCTGCCCACTCTCCACTACCTCTGGGGTAAGAGTTTTACCTGCAGGAATTTGGACCGGTTTTCCAGGAGCACTTTGTTGTCCGTCTTGACCGCTTGCTGAAACATGTAGTCGCAGAACTGCTCTCGTACAAATCCTGGGCTGGCCACGAGGACGCACTTGACAACATCAAAGTTTATGTGGCGCTGGATGGCCTGGACCACCTGTTCATAGAACCTCTCCAGGGCCCGGTCATGCTGGGCGCAGTTGCCTTTCCGTTTCCTGGGGATGTTCACCTCCACCTTGGCACGGGTGAGGGTCATACTGGGCGTGACTAAGCAGACGTGGGCGAGGCCCTCCTGCATGACCACGGCTGCCACATCAGCGCTCCAAGCTGGGTCACAAGCCTGCTCGATGCGTTCCAGAACCACACTGTCCCACTGTTTCTTGGCCAGGGTGAACTGGCGGTTGGGCTCCAGTTCGATGGTGTGGTAAGCCCCCATCTTGACGTACTCATTCTCTTGGATATTGGTCCCCTTCACCCGCAGCTGGCAGGCTTGAGAGTCAAAGTCGATGGCCTCCACGCAGAGGGTGAGGGTGGTGCGGACACGGTTGCTCCCCACGCTGCCCGTGGAGGACTCGGTCTGGACCTTGCGGATGGTGGAGGCGCGCAGGCTGTCGCCCACCTGCACTAGATTGTAGGTGTGCCACATGTCCTCGGGCTCCTCGGGGACGAGGGTGACCTGGCCCGCATTGTCCTTCTCGATGTCCTTCCTCACAAGCTTCATGACCTTGCCAGGGGCTCACTTTCGGAAACAGGAGGCGCGGAAGGGGTCCCCAGGAGAGAGAGGCAGGGTTGGAGGCGGGGGGTGGGGGGGGAGCGAGTTCTAGGCTGGGGAGGGGACAGGAAAGAAACACTACCTCTGACTCCTGCAGCCCCGAGGCAGAGCCTTCCCCGTCCCCACGCTTTTCTCGGTCTCCGCGCGCGCCGATCCACGCTGCGCGGCTGCAGACCCCGCGCCGAACACAGGACGACCCGGTACTTTCAAGTCACCGGCCCCGCGCAAGTGGCTGACGCGGGCGATCGCGCGTGCGCAGCCCGCCTCCCGGCGCACGTCTGTCGTCCCTACCGGAGAGGCGGGGCCTGTCGTTTGCGCGCGCACGCAGGCGCAGTAAAAGGGAAGGCGCGCCCTAGGTAAAAGTCAAGGGAGGCGCTAAAAGCGGCTCCCGGCCGGCCGCCGCGCTGAACTTAGAGCTGAGCTCGGGTTTGCTAAGTTTTCCCACACAGCCCTGTGTCCGAGGTATTGCGGAGTATGTGAGTGCTAACATATGCATTTAAACTTGTCATTTTGCACCTCCTTCCTTGGTATGAAGCCAGCTTCCAAACTTATGTAAAAATGAAAAGCGCCCTGGAAAGTGCAGACTTAGTCCTCCGAAGTCCAAACTCTGCCTGGTCTAGCTCATTCCTTACCCGCGCTCAGACGTGACGCGCGCTTCTTGGCACTGGGATATCCAGAAGCAGTTTCTAAGAACTAGTCACGTTCGGCCTGAGCTCAGCAACATGCCCAGCTGCTTTCTGCACCCAGTTACCCGGTTTGCACGATCCAGTTAACCCAGATGTGAAAGGACAGAGCCCAGAGAGAGCAGAAACTATGCGTGGAATGTACCCCTGGTGGACCTCTGTGTGGCTTGACCTGATGTCCTGGGAATCCCAGAATCCAAAATTGGCAGCCAGCTCTCCACCGCGCAGGAGTCTCTGAGGCGCTTAGTGTGGGAGCTGGGCTGCAATAGATTAGTGCTGGATCTTCCCTGCCAATGGCGGGCCAAAAGCTGAGGATATGGGAAGTAAAGATAAACTGATCTACTAATTATGACCGCCCCCAAGGAAGAGCCACAGAAAAAGAAAACCCTTACATTCCTTTTTTCTTTCCCCACAGTGGCGATGGGAATGCCTCTTTCTTGAGACTGAAGACAGTGGGAAGCAGAGAAGTCCTGAACACATATTCTCACTGCGTTTTGTGTGAGGATCTTAAAGCAGAGCTCTCCAGCCTTAATTGAAGAGGCAAGGTTAAAGGGAGGATGAATCATGTTAATTGATGTCAGCTATCTTTCTTAGGGGTTGCCAGGAAGGTGGGGGTGGAGTGGCCCTTCCAAGACTTCAGTATAAATTAGAACCCTTACTTGCTTTATATCCTCTGTCTCTCTGTCTGTCTCTGTCTCTCTCTCTCTCATTCCCATTTCCCCCTTCCCACCTTCCTATCACACAGAGTCCCCATCTTGCATTGCCTTCCTCCTCCTTCAAAGCCAGCAGCCTTCCCGAAACAAGGCACTGGTCTCACCAATCAAGAAGGTGGCTTCATGGGCTCTTAATGAATGAAAGGTTTTCACTGGAGTACAATCAACTTTTGAAAAATTCTCAAGCACTTTCCTACACTTTCTTATAAGGAAAATGCTACCCTAATTTGTAGGGAGGTAAAATGAAATTCTGAGGAAGTTGAGCATGTAAGTGGCATTCAGATT